AGGTTTGGGGTTTAGGGCTTTTTCTAGTTTAGTAAGGTCGCGCAGGACTTTACCTTCAACTGTAATGCACTCTGAGCTTCTTTGACAGCTGCAAGAATCCCAAGTACTGGCTACAGGCATGGTCAGTCTTTTAGGGATTAGGGTTTAGGGGNNTTGGGGGGGGGAGGGGGGGGGTTGGTGGTGGGTCTTCTTACTTGCAAGTTGTTGTAGGGCACGAAGAAGTTGAAAAGCAAAAGGGCAACTGCTGTACCATTGGGGAGGTACGTACACATAAATGAATATGTATAAATGAATATGTGTGAATGTAGGTATGTATGCAGAACAGCTACCGTGGAGATCGACGCCTGCATTCCCATCTAGACTCTAGACACCAGTAAGCTTATGTCATACGAACTCAAACATAAATACATACGTAAAAATGGTGAGATGAATAATATGTGCACACCAACACATGTGTTCATACACTGAACCTTGGTGCACTGTCTCTCTACCCTGAAATCTCTTCCGTGGCAGATGCAACTGCCGTGCCCGGACTGCGTCCGAGGCTCATACATGTTCACGTCTGACCACGTGTTCCTGCGTTCTGTCTTGAGGTCGCTAAGAAGCACATTAAAGCCTTGTCCACGGAATACTTGGGAAAATATCAATCTCAACCCAGGTTCGCATCATAGGGATCATACTTGGAGAGGACGGCTTTGATCTGCTGTACCCGCGGAGGGTCATCAATGTCATACTTGGCCTGCTTGCCAGTCCTGAAGAGGACAAGGATTTGACATTCTTCTGCCCTCATGGAACAGGAATGCCAAATTGTTGGCTAGTTCCTTCCTGCTAGCGGGATCCTACTTGGAGGGTCAAGGGNNCAAGGGGACTTAGTAAGTATACTTATAATAACCCTTACAAGTCACATAATAACCCTAATTAGTTACCTTCTTACTAAGCTCCCCTGACAATCCGCAACAGGGCAGCGCTGCCCTCATTTAAAAATGGATGCTCCTAAACTGAAAGGATGGCAACCCTGGCCCTAGTGATAAACGCATGGTATTCAGTATCATGCCAGGTAAGCATTACTAGGTCGTTCCCTACCACCTAAACCCTCAGGTCAAGAACAACTTGCAGTTGCTGAGGGTCACAATTCGCAAGACATTCCCCTTGTGGTTTTTTAGGCAAATCCCGGCCAAGTCTCACGTCTGCCCCAGAGCAGAAGTAGCGCCCAGCTCCAATCAGAACTGCGCAAAGCACCTGGGTCGGGCGTTAGAATGAGGTTTTAATGATTAGAACAGGATGTAAGGTCAGGTTTTCAGTTCGTATGGGGGATTGAGGGTTTGGAGGCCTGTTGAACTGGAATAGCGGAGAAGCAAATGGAAAAGAACATGAACATGATATGGAAATTAATTAGGTGTATACAGGAGTTATAGGGGGATCGAATGAAGAGCCCATCGCAAAAGTGTAGCAGTAGGACCCCTTTAGAACCAGTAATAGCAAGAGTACTGATAATAAGAGTAAAACTGCAAATGAGGCCAAGATAGGAAGAACAGCACTAAATCTTTGAACACTAAACCCTATGTGGTAGTTTCCATGAAAAGGTGGACCGCAATGTAGACCCCCAAACACTAAAGGGAAACTAAGTTCAAAAAGGGACCCGAATTTTGGGAGACCTGAAGCCCAGGTACCCTCTCATCGTTTTCTGCCTCCTCGAAGGCAGCCTCAGTTTGGCAGCGGGGTTCCTCATCACCCGCCCTTGGTTTTTTGGTTTCAGCTCCCCCCATGACTAAGCCCCAAACCCTAAACCCCAAACCCTAAACCCCAAACCCTAAACTGTCTCACCCAAAATCTGCACGAGTTCATACATTTCATATGTCATGGTCGCGTGGATGCTTTGAGGTCGGTCCGCTTAGGATTTTAAGCGCTGACCTTCAGGCGCCGACGATGTGTCAACCAAATGTGTAACATTGTCGAACAAAAGACTTGGAGGTATTGCACAGGTGGGGCCCGCAGGCGGAGATGTTAGCTGAGGCTGCTTCGGAACGTACACCTAGAACTTTCCATGAACCTCCGCGTATGCAGCCTACGAAGGGGCAAGAGTCGAGATCCGAAAGCTGACGGGAATTGCAAATGCTCCCCCACTTAGCATCCCTAGATCCAAATCAAATCACAGTTCCCGCTGTTCTCTTCTACTACGGCGGAGACAGCGTAACACCATCGGAGACATATGCCTTAAGACTGGCACTGGAAACACGTCTTTAGTAGTCCGCGAGGACCAAAAAAAACAGATCCCTCGTCGATATTCGGTCTGCAGGAACACAGGGTATCGGTCAAATGCCTACATTCTGTTTTACTTTGCAGACCATTCAGACGAGCGTCAATCATGTCACAGTGCACCTTGGTCGGAAAATCGGAGTACATGATCCCATACTGCCCTTACCATCCTGCATCGTTCCGCCTGGGCCTATCGATTCTCGCCTGCAGTCCCCATTTTCTCGAGAAAACATGGACGCAACATCATGAAATGCCCCACTCCAAGCTTGGGCTAGTTAGGTCCCCACCCAGAAAAATGGCATAGCGGGAGAGAAGCAGGACCTCCAAAACTACGAGTGTCCCTTGTGGTCACTATCAGTAGATGCTGGCCACCCTAAACCCTAAACCCTACATTCCACAGCCTGGAAGTTGACCGCATTCAGAACATCAGGCCGATTCCTCGTGATGATAGCCACGCCGTCCTGTGCCGGAGCTTTGGACGTCAGAAGTTCCCAGCAACTCTTTTCGGGGGGGTTCACCCACTAAGTCTTACAGCATTGCCAGAAACGCACTAGTTTACCCTGGCGGAACTGATGTGTTCAAATAGGAACTGAAATGCAAGCAATAAGTGATTATTTCACCCAATCCTTGCCGCAGGAACACACCCAGGAAAGTTTTGAAAACAATACCGAATAAGTGAAAAAATGGAAAGCTCTGACACTATGTGAGCAAATTTTGTCTAAACTCCTAGTATTGCCCCGTAATACCCCCATGATACTCCCCTATAGAATCCCGCATGTAACCCCCTTTCAGAAGTTGTGACTATCCATGTAGCTGCAGTGTGATCGTTACTCCGGCATCCCCTTCTGCGCGGCTCTTAAAAGACCTCTTTACAAGTGCTCTACTAGGCCTTGCCGGGGCCTGCCAGTGGCAACCACACGCCTTGCCAGAAGGGTGACAAAGACTACTTCCTGCCAGAAACGTGACATCCATTCCGGGCCTCCTTTTTCTGCACGTTCTCGGTTAGGAGAGCCGCGCAGAAAAAGGAGGCGCAGGATTCTGGCAGGGCCCTTCGCAGCCACTGGCAAGGCCTACCAGATCCACACAGAAAAAGAAAGTGCAGGACCCGTGCGCGCTCGTAACGAGGCCAAAAGAGCCGCGCAAGAAAAAAGAGGCTAGGAGAACAAGAGCAGCAATAATCATCGCAGCAGTAGCAGCAGCAGCAGCAGCAGCAGCAGGAGGAGTAGTAGTAGTAGTAGTAGTAGTAGGAGGTACTAGCAATAGTAGTAATAGTAACAATAATTTTGATGATTAGAATGATTGTTGGTAAGGATGCTCATGATGTTGGTTGTTGTTGTCGTCGTCGTCGTCGTCGTCGTCGTCGCTGCTGCTGCTGCTGCTGCTGCTGTTGCTGGTGTTGGCGTTGTTGGTGCTGGTGTTTGTTGGCGTTGGTGTTGTTGTTGCAGCAGCAGCAGCAGCAGCAGCAGCAGCAGCCGCAGTAGTAGCAGTAGTAGTAGTAGTAGCAGCAGTAGTAGAAGTAGAAGTAGAAGTAGTAGTAGTAGTAGTAGCAGTAGTAGCATCAGCAGCAGCAGTACTAGTAGTAGCAATAATAAAAGTGGCAGCAAAAAACGGAGTTCGAGTAGGATTAAGAACACACAACAATGTAGAGGACTGTGCATCAAAGCGGCACCTGAAAGCAATAACGCCGCTACTGCTTGCAAAACTGTCCCTGTGGTATATCGGTATATCCTTGCTACGCGAGATCCCAAAAGGGAAACCCTTCTGAACCTGGCACTCGAAGCAGATGCCAAGAGGTAAACCCTGAACCTTTCTGGGCCAAAATCCTTTTGAGACCCCGGCTCAGAGTAGCAGTCGTCCTGCACTTCGTATTTCACCGTGCGAAAGATGGGTGTACTTGGCACTGGAGCTGGGAAACGCCGCCAAGGCAGACGGGGGCCTTCCACGTCACTTCTGTCCTTTGGCATCATAAGTCTGGGAGCTTCCTAAACTAGGGTAGGTTTGGGAACCCCATGAAAATTCGATGTTTATGGCTCTAAAAGAACTATATAGAAATTCAGGGTACGAAACCTCTAAAATATGTTTAAACCTACTCCTGTAAACCCTATAAACGACAACCATAGATCAGGAGCTTGAAAGCTTGCATGATGATAATCATACTGGGGTTATATAGGGGTTATATAGGGTTATATAGGGGTATATAGGGGTTATATAGGGTTATATTGGGGTTTTATAGGGTCATATTGGGGTCTTATAGGGTTATATTGGGGTTTTATAAGGTTATATTGGGGTTTTATAAGGTTATATTGGGGTTTTATAGGGTTATATGGGGGTTATATTGGGGTTATAGAGGGGTTATCATCTCTTACGATTTTTGTTGTTACGTATAACTGCCATCGTTGTGAGAAGGTCATAAGTAGTCTGTGTAAGAGTGATCATGAGTAGCCGCAAAATTATCAAAAGGTGATAGCCATCATCACGCATGATTGGCGATTACGCTTCTGACTGATCATTGTTACAGCTCGGTGCAGCTCGGCTGAAGGCTCAATTGCGTAACACCTCCATGATGACTTCAGTTGTTCAGAAAGTATCTGTTCCCAGTTTGGGTGAGGTAGACAGGGGTTGTCAGCTACCTGAACCCGAAAAGTAGGTAAAATAATGGCCCCAGACCCTTAGAACTAGTTCAAAGGGCCAGTGTTCTATATACTTTTGGCGTTCAGCTGGGGTTCGCTTCTGTATGGGCCGCCGGCCGTAGCATGCGAAGACAGGACTGCCACGCGACGCAAAGCCATGGCAGGATGCAGCTACAAAGGCCAACAGCAAATACTCAATGGACCCATGCCCGCAAAAGTATGTGGAATAATTGAGGTATAGGTTTAGGGTTTAGGGTTTAGGGATAGGGGTTTAGACTATATATTACTACATTACCATATTACTATGCTACTATAATGACTTCTATTTTTCGCGGTTTGGGGCTACTATGTTTACCTACTTTTTAGTCCTCTATATAATCCCCTACATAACCTCCTTTAAGGAGTTTAGGCTATGGCTCCTACAGCTGGCGGAGTATTTCAGAGTAGGACTGGCAATTAGTCGCGGCGATCCACAATATTTGCGAAGACATGTACGCTCCTTCAAAAGTTCGATGACGTGCAAATTGTACATATTCCTCTTTTTAAACCCAATATAGCCCCAACATAAACCCACTATAACCGAACATCAAATAATGGTTTCCATTTTCTTTTCCATTATCCCAATATATCCCCTGATGCATGCTCCTAGGAGTGGGATACGACTGCCACCTAAATCCCCTAAGGTAGTGTAGATCCTGAGACATTAAGGATTTAAGTGCAAGATTTCATCCACTAACAGTATTATCAGGGAAGACTTCCTCATAACTCAGGCTTATACATTACACAGGTCTGCTTGTGCAAGCGACCTGGTTTCTAAGGTCCTTGGCAGGAGAACACTTAAACCCTAAACCCTAATCCCCTAACCCTAAATAGTAGTTTCCATTTTCTTTTCCATTATAATCCCAATATGGTACCCCTATATAGTCACTAATAGTATCCCCAAATAAAATACCTGTGACCCCAACTCCCAGCAAGACAGCACAAGGATTTTGCATGACGCGCCATCACGCGAAATCATGTCAATAGCTTAGGTGGACCCCCCACCCAGTAATAGACTATTATGGATTATATTCGGGTCCTCTTATATTCCTATTATACCACTATTACAGGGTGGGGGGTCCTCCTAATCAGCAGACCCCGAACTTGGAGTGTACTTGCACCCCGGAAGTCGTTGCAAATGCTGGGCCTGGCATCTGAAAAAATTGAAGAAACAGCTTTGCTTTTGTAGATTTTCAGAAGTTTCTGTGTAGATCTCGTGATCCGGGCCAGTAGCTGCAAATGGCCTATCTGCCACCACGCAACCTACACCAACAGAACTGTGCAATAGAGATCTTCAAGCTGAAGCCCTCAACCCAAACAAGCTCATCATCTACAGGATGAGCTTCGTGGCTGCAGCCGCTGGCCACTCAGATTTGTGGGTCCAGCAATATCCAGGCAAAACAGTGAGTAGACAGGAATGTGGGCATCTCGCAAAACTAGGGGCCAGCGGTCTATCCTTGACGCTTCACACCCCCAAAGGCCCTTAATTTTGAGAAATGCTCGTGTCTGACTGACCTGGCACACCAAAAATTTGCCACCACGGCTGGGTCGATTGACCTCGGGCCTTGCGTGGGCCGTGCCTGTCCGCTCGTGGGATTGCGCGCCAAGGCAAGCACAACAGGCACATGCATGAATTCGCTTCAAACACAGTGCGATGCTTGTCGGCAACATAACAGCAGCAGAGATAAAATGTCTGACGACAGCTTGTGCAGCAAAAGCATAACGTGAATACCTACGAAAGCAAATTCAACAACCAACTCCCATCGCACTCCAGGGGGGCCAGGTAGGAACATTGCTGTCATACCCAGGCGAAATACTTGATAAAATCAGCATCCAAGCCCTTCGTGTTCTGTTCAACATGCCACAAGAAGCAACAGGAGAGCACCACTGATCCATAGCTGCTGTGGCTTTTTTGAGGGGTTGGGGCGCCAGCTCTTGAAACACACGCTCTGGTGTGCCATGCGGAGGTTGGGAACACGCCGTGCGCCTCAATTTTCTGATGCTTCCTCCGTCTTATCGGAGCGGTTAAAGCTAGGTGGCAAGGAGGAGGGGCGCTTATTCACTTTGGTGCTGGAGTCTGCTGACGTCTGCGCTGGCTCAAAATGGAGAAAAGTGTTCTTCAAGCGGACCTTGAGCTCTTCTGATCGCTCTCGTGCTTCAGGTTCTGAGCTGCCTGCACGACTCACCGCTCTGCTTTGATGTGGAGACGAGGTTTCCGTCTCGCCAGGCTCTGGAAGACTGAGCAACTGGGAGAGGGGCAGCTGTCGTCGTGGCTCCTCTGTTGTCTGGCGACTAAAATTGCCTTGCTGGGTGTACGAAGGCTCCTCAGTCGTCTGCCTGCTAAAGGCCGTAGTTTGGCGGCTGACAGAGTAGCTAGGATCTTCTGTGGTCTGCCGGCTAAATCGGCGCCCATCCTCATCAACGACTTCCGTTGTGGATTGCCGGCTCCAATTGGAGCCTCCCTTGTCTAACTCTGTGGGCGAGGCAGGGCATGCCCTAGTCTGCGCGGTTTCTGCAACTGGAGGCATAGCAGAACCTGGTTTGCAGTCTTTGTGCGACCCGAACAAAACGCCCAAGGAGAGATTCACATGGCAACCCAAGTATTCTAATAGCAGCCCAAACATAAGGACCCTAAACCATTCCCCCCAATAGGTATACCCTTAGATGACCACTAGATAACCCCTATATAACCCTGAAATAAACCTTATATAACCCCTATACAAGCCCTAAACCCTAAACGCTAAACCCTAAACCCTAAAGCCTAAACCCTAAAGCCAAACCCTAAAGCCTAAACCCTCAAGCCCATATAAACTTACCATTATTTAGGGTACCCAAATTTCCTTAATTTTAAAAGTTCAAAAGTTCAAAACCAAAATGACCCCCCCCAAACCCTAAGTAATGGTAATAAACCCTAAACCCTAAAGCCTAGAAACCTTGCGGGATTGGAAGCTGCAGTCCGGGCTCTGCCCTGGCCTGACCAGAGGATTGCGATCCGCTCAGCCCTTGCAAAATCCTGGGTGACCAGGTTTAGGGTTTAGGGTATAGGGTTTAGGGTGGGTAGCAATGGGATTGGGGTTTAACGTTGAACTGTATTATGTTTCCTCCTTACTGCGCTTAGGTACTCATAAAGAAGGAAAAATGTTTTGAACGGCGGCGCGGGATCAACGTGTACATGGCGGCGCTGTGGATGATCCCCGCCTCACTGACACGCAGTAGTTTCTTGTTGGCATAAATCCCCTCCCCCTAATACTAGGCACCTGTCCCATACAATGCCATCACACTCAAGGAATACCTAGAATTACCGTGAGGGCTTTGTAGCTATGCCGGTCGGGGTTACATGCGAGTCGCTTCACTCGCTTTGGCGGCCATGATCATGGAAGCTTTGACCTTGAAGGTTATCTTAACACTCTGAACACTAAATCCTGGACCCACAACCTTAACCCAAATCCCTAAACCCTAAAACACCGAAAGTCCTAAATCACAGCCCTCTACATGTCCCTCTACATATATATATATAAGCCCTACATAAACCCCTTAAACCCTAACCCCTATACATAAACCCCGAGAACCCCCCTAAACCCTAAGCCCTAAATAGTAGTTTCCATTCTCTTCTCCACTATCCCGTATCCCCAATATTACCCCAATGGATACCTATATCCCCTAAAACCCTGAACCCTGTATAAGCCCATTATAGTAGTTTCCATTTTCTAGGACTTGGTGGCCCTAAACCCCCGAACCCTAAACCCCTAAACCCTAAACCCCCCTAAACCCTAAACCCTCCTAAACCCTACCAAGAAAGGACTTGGTGGCCCACCTTGGTGGCCGGCATCAGTGACTGAAGCTGGGCGAAGGGTGGCTCTCCTTCGGCGGTATTGGCGGCTGGAACCTGCTCAGGGCTTAGAGAAGAGGGCTTATAGGCTTTAGGGTTTAGGGCTTAAGGTTTAGGCGTTAAAGCTTAGGGCTTAAGGTTTAGGGATTAGAGCTTAAGGTTTGGGGCTTTGGGTTTAGGGCTTCGGATTTGGGAATTGCTTTTTAGGGTTGCTGAGATAGGATTTAGGCTTTTGGGTTTGGGTGCTAGGGCTTAGGGTTTGGGGAATTTGTGGCTTACATTCTTTTTGGAGGGCTTTGGGTTGGATTTGCGGTTTCCGTTGAGACAACAAACGGCAAGAAGATCAAGGGTTCATGGCTTAGGCGTTTATAGTCCCCTTAAGTAGATAGAATATGGGGCTTTAAAGGTGTTTTCTGAGGATAGAAATGGAAAATAAAATGGAAGCTACTGTTTAAGGTTTAGGGTTTGGGCGATATAGTCCTCCTTAAGTAGATAGAAAATGGGGTATATGGGGATCTGATTATAACATACCCAAAGCCATATTCCATCTACTTAAGGGGTACTATAGGGTTTGGGAAGGGAGTAAGTACACAGTAAATGCCTGAGGCATATCCACTTGTGGAGCTGCTCCTGTTGAAGCTCGTCTGGATTTGGCAGAGGAGATGTAGCTTGGTCGAAGCTCATCGCGGCTGTGTGCAAACTTGCAGTTGGAACCTTGGCCGAGGGTTTTGGGTATAGGGTTTAGGGTCTGAACTCCTCGTATCCCCCTGAATAAACGCCAGAATACTTCCCATATTATGCCCTATATACTCCCCTCTCAGGCATTTAGACTATGGCTCAATTGCAGCTCTTTTTCACAACGCTCATGATGTAGCTGTACCCATACATGATCAGCAGAAATATACTTCATCCTGGCCATATGAGGGTTTCCAAAATTGGGGGTACCTTTTCTGGGGTCCGTATAAGAAGGACTCTAGTACATTGGAGTTTATATGAATATTGAGGTCCCCTTATGTATGGAAACTACCTTGTGTAAGGCCAATTTGGCACACCATTTAAGGCTTGCCCAGTTCATGGACCCATGGGATTACCAACGCAACCACAACCGTAAACCCTAAACCCTGAAACTCTAAACCTAAATCCCCTCAACCCTAAGCCCCTAAACCCGAATCCCCTCAACCCTAAACCCTAAACCCTAAACCCTGACCATCCCTGAGCCCCTAAACCCCCTAAACCAAAATTCCCTAAACCCTAAATCCCTAAACCCATCTAGGTTGGCCGGGGCACCCTGCTCACATGCGCCGCCTTAGAAATCGAAATTTCTGATAGCTGCCATAAATGGGGGACCCCAAGATAGGCGTTGATATCCTAAAAGGGTTTAGGTTTAGGGGTTTAGGGTTATATACCTAGGCACCAAAAGTAGGTAAAATAATAGCCACAGACCCTTAAACATAGCAAAAAAGAAAAACATTATTCTGCATACTTTTGGCGTTCAGGTAATCCTGATTATGGGAACCCCGAAAGGGAAAGACCCCCATTTGTCATCAAGGCAGATAGAAGCGGGGAAAAGGTGCCAAAAGGAGTCGATGGGGACTTACGGACACACATCCGGCCACGCGGTTTAGGATTTAGGGTTTAGGGTTGAGGGTTCCTCGAAGGTGTGGGACTTGCCTCTTAGATGAAATCGCTTGATGCATCGAAGCGTCTTTTCATGAATGGCTCACATAGCCTAGTCTTTGAAAAGTCCGGAAAGTCACGAAGATCGTCCACGGAGTGTGCAAAATTGCAGGCTTCTCCGCGCGAGCAGCAGCCGGCTAAGAAGAACTTGCCTTGCAGCGCCGGTAGAACCCAAAGACTCGATTGGGCATTTTTGCAAGACAGGTGGCCCAATGGTTCCCACGGATATACGGAAGCTACAAGGATTATGGCAGTGACTTTTCATAATCATGGAACTTTCACGAATCCTGATCTGAGCAAGAACTCTACGGGCGCAAAAGACGGCAATCTTCAATCCGTAGTGCTAGCATGTGACCTAGGCAGCCCGGTGGAAATTCTGGCTTATCAGCCCACCAACTCACGTGCTCCCATTAACTATCTATTTGTGATTTACTGTCGAGCGCGCAACATCATCGCAGCCAGCCGTGCGCGCGTGATGAAGTGTAGGCTAGCTAATGCTGGCCCAGTTGCACAAGCGCGTTCCCCTGAACAACCTTCGTCGTGCTACTTCTTCCTCCTCTCCCCGTGTTTTGGTCGCGTCGGGCTTTGTCGACATCTCCGCAGGCACCTTTGCAGCTATCTTGCACTGTACATGAGCTATTTGGCACGCTGGAACTGTTCGAGCCAAAGCCCAATGAAAGTACCACATGAAGGCAACTGAACACCCCTGTCTAGGCTGTTGAGATATCTGATGATATCTGCAACTATGTGAAGATCTGGCGGTTCACATACAGAAATGTGCCAGCTTCGCACACTCATATCATCCATGAGCGACAAGCACAGGGCCCTTTTAGATTCCTAGGCGATATGCGTTTCCGCGTCGCAAACTACATAAAGAGAACAATCGCTGCTTTGCATCGCCTTCATGGGCTCCTTCGAGGAGGAGGCGTTCCAGGGCGTGATGGCTGTAAATTGTATGATTTAGGGGCTGGCGAACTTTCAGGTGATCGGCCCCGCTCCCTGAAGGACCCCAAAATGCTCTCTGACTTCGTGAGGGGCTGCGGCGCTTGGGACGACCCTGTCGAACCAAGGAGCTTCACTTCAGCTCCGGAAAAAACTGAGACTTATCCAACACAATTTAGGGTCTAGGGAATGCCTCGAACCTAAAGCCGAAACATTACTCTCAGCGGGTTATCCAATCATCTCATGTTCTTGATTTCTGAAAACATCTTATGGTCCCGCATGGTCCCGGTGTTTTGTTCTCATCTTCCATCATTGGGGCAGTATATCCCTAGATCTCCCTATAAATATAACCCCTACCTAATCCTGTATATCCGTATACATCCACAATATCCCCCTGGATGCCGAAAATCCTGAACCCTGAACCCTAAGCCCCAAACCCTAAACCCCCAAACCCAATCCCTAAACTCCATCATAGTAGTTTCCATTCTCTTGTCCATTATCCCTACGTACCCCTAATACACTATAATATATCATATTATATTATGGGGCCGATCCCTAAACCCTGCACCCTAAACCCCTAAGCCCTAAATAGTAGTTTCCATTCTCTTTTGCATTATCCCATATCCCTAATATTACCCCAATGGGTACCAATATCCCCTAAAACCCTAAACCCAATACAACCCCATTATAGTAGTTTCCCTGATATAGCCCACTATAATAGTTTCCATTTTATTTTCCATTATCCCCTATATAACCCACTTATCCCCTAAACCCTAAACCCTATATAACCCCATTATAGTAGTAACCCTAAACCCTAATCCCTAAACCCTAAAACCCTAAACCCTATATAACCCCATTATAGTAGTAACCC